AAAAAAAAAAAAGAGCAATTTAATCTCTACTTTTCAGTGATATAAGATTGCACATCAAGAAAATTCAAACGCAAATAGCAATGTTAAAGAAAAATAAATTGCTCAAGCAAACTCAACGAGGCACTAAAAGATAATCGATTCTTGAGCACTTTACATACTAAAAAAAAGTAGATATCAGGAGAAAACTAATAAAACAAAGGTCTCCTTTTGCATGTGATTAAGATAATGTGCATGTCAACATTGAATTTTAAATTTAGTGTCATAAATCTCAAGTATAAGACCATAAATCATTCATAAAAATTGGATCATATTATTTTTCATCCAAAGTAAAAAAACAATTGTTTAAAATAAATGGCTTGTGTCGTGGAATATTGCATGTTTGGTGCATTATTTGTTTGCATCTAAATATGCATAGAATGTAAGATCAACTTTAGAAATTTTATTAGCATGCCCTCCAATAGACTGTTATCAAAATTTGTGAATATAGTAAAATGTCTGCCAAATGTAAGACATATCACCAGGGCCAGTTAACAAAATTACCAAAAAAAGGCAATTTAGATAGAGACCAATTTAGCTATTATGATTCTAAAAAGTTTCAAAAACAATTTATGCAACAAGTATCCTATATTTAATGGAAGAGATAATCATGCATATTTTCAGAATTTTTATGGATAACAAAGATGAGCATTTTTCAAAGGTTATAACCACTTGATTCTAGAATATTGAAATTGTTTGAAAAAAAATTAACAGATCAATTTAAGCATTTTAGAGAACCACATCTACTAAAATAAAATCAGCATAAGTTGATATGAACATTAAACATAAAAAAATAATTAATTAATTTAATTAACCAATTTCTTATATTTAAAAATTTTATAGTAATGTGTTATTTTCTAAATAATTACTTCATTACAGAAAACAATTTCTTTATAAACCTTAGGAAAGAAATAATTGTTAAATAAGCTACAATTCTCTCAAGACAATATGGCTTACTAAAAAATTTTTAAGCCTTGAAATTATATTACAAGTATCCTACTGATAATGTACAACACCTTAAATTAATGTCTCTAATGACAATCTAATGCCGGAGGATAATGCCAAAAACACAAAAAAACAACTTTTATTAATAGAAAAATAGGGTTACTAACACACATAAACTGAAAATAAAATCACCAACACAAAAAAAAAAAACACAACAAAATCCTCGAGAGTGCATCCCAAGGGCGGTGGAGGTTGCTCAGTGGGTCGGTATGACTAGAGGGGGTGGCGATTGCGAAGGCGGGGCGAGAAAACGGTAGGAACAGCTAGAGGGCTGGTTGTCCTGTGCAGATACAACAAGAACCTGGGGCAAAAACGGCAGGAACAATAAAGGTTAGCTGTCTCGGGGCGGCGGAGGCAACGGTATGGGTGATTTGGGGTGATGGAAAGGTGCTAGACAGCAAGGTAGACTGATGGAAACAAGAATAATGAAGATACAATCACCAACGGTTAGAGTGATACAGCCAGAGCACCACTCTAACAGTCAGATACAACCCTCGAGGGGGAAGAAGGTTCCATACAAAAAATCTTAAATCGAACACAGCAAAATACTCCATCTAAACTTAGAAAACAAGCATATAAATAGACCTAGCTAGGGGGCAAAAATAAAGAAAAGACGACGAGAAAGGGAGGAGGAGAAAGGCCAGGCAACAAGGTCGCCTCTCCCCCAAATTTGCTCGCTCCGGATAGGAGATGTGAAAAGAAAGACCGCCTGAGTCGTATGGAGCTGCTTGATACTTTGGAAGCTTGAACCGGTCCCCCATCCCTGTCGGTTCAGCTAGCTGGCCCATTTCCCATCTCTGTGCAGGAAAATCTGGCATTCGCGTCCGTAGCGAGGGGGAAAGCCATGTGTCAATCTCCCAGGTTGAAAAAGCTTCGACTTCATTGGTCGAAGCTTCTGGCTCCTTGTGGCATGGTGTTAAGTTCCTTGGTTGGTCGATCTTGTCGGTTTTGTCATTCTACAACACATTCTAGGAGAATAGGTATCCATCCTCTTTCGGCACATCCTTATCTGGAACTGTAGGAAGACGAGTATTCTCACGATTCAGGAATCAAGCGATTTCAGAGGCAACCTGCTTTTTCCACTCCTCGTAACGGACGAGTGCAGCTGAGGAACTGGTATGGAATGAGGTATCAATTCATGGGTGACATTTGTGCAAGGTTGCATCCCTCTCACTAGCACCCCCTCAAAAAAGACCTCTTCATCACTAATAGGACCTATATTTCATTAAAAAATTTTCATCCACATAAAGCTTTTTGGGCCCACTACAAAGCTGGGGTTCATCTCTCAAGTCTGGATATACCATGCAGAACAAGAAATAACTCCACGTGATATTCTCTTCATGTTACAAATTGACTCCTCTTCGGACCTGTTGGGCCTCCCCCAGTAGGGATAACTTAGGAAGAGGTCTATCCATCTAAAAAAACTGTATTTCCCTTATCTGTATTGGCCCTGTATCTGATTTCGGCCCCTCAAGATCGTAATCCTTTTGGATCACCAAGGTCAGCCCTACTGTTGCTCCTCTCAACTCCTGTGAAATGTTATCTTGAGGTACCACGGTTTCATACTCTGCTTGAACGCTCATAAAATCGAGGTCATTACCTTTCATAACGACTATTATTACCTCAGCTGGAATCTCTATCTCGGGGTCCACTGGAACTAGTGGCGTCTCTTCCTCGCTAACTGCAAGTGAAGAATCCTCCCGAAAGTCCTCATCTTCTCCCGTATCAACTGTGTCATTGCCTAATTTTTCAACAACACCCTGCTGAGTAAAACAAATATCTCCCTTGGTAGTGCATTTTGATTCCACATGCCCAAATTCATGGCACTTGCAACACTTCCTGGTTGTAACTTTTAATGATGTGGTCAGGTCTCACATGTTATCTACTCAGTTTGTCCTCTGAGGGGGTCGTATTGGATGTTCCTCTGGTTGCACTCTAGCTATAAGATCCTTCCCTACCTGTAAGATGAGGGGTTGATTGGTGATGTGATCCCTCCAATTCTGAAGATAGAATATGTTTCTGTCTGTAGCAAGATGGTAGAAATTGGTACTGTGTCTCCCACTTTATCCTTATATTCTCTCATTTTCCTCTTCAACTCTCCCAATCACGATCGATGATAACCTCTTACTGAATTTCATCCTCAATGTCTGTAATCCACCGCTGCAATCGATGGATCTCTTGTCGTATCTCCTCCCGGGTAGGCTCGGACATATATACCATTAGTGGCATGACTAAGGTTTAGAAATCAAAAAGAAAAATTTTGGTTGGGTTAGAATTTGTGTTGTGGAAATGATATTTGGTAGATGAAACCCTAGGTTGATATTGGGGTTGTGCTAGCTCTGATACCAAATGATGCAGGAGGAGAATAACCATAAAAGAGCAACTTTTATTAATAGAGAAATAGGGTTACAATACACACAAACTAAAATTGTAATCACCAACACATAAAAAGACAACAAACAACTTGAGAGTGCATCTTAAGGGCAGTGGCAGTTGTTAGTTAGGTCGGGATGACTAGCAGGGGTCGCAGCAGCGAAGGCGGGGCAAGAAAATGATA